ATGCGGAATGTATGCAGCGCGGAGTTGCTCGATTGTCTTGCACTTCTGTGCTTAGCTGATGAGAGACAAAAATATCCGCCGAATCCTATCATTTCCTAAAAAATCACCTCCTAGAAGACCGGAGCAGGGAGCAGGGAGGGATTTGCCTTTTTACTCTGTCGTGCGCAAAGCCCGACCATCGCTTTCAGAAGCGATCGGTGATGTACCCTACCACGCGATTTGCATTATTTCTTCTTGCATGCTACGCAGCATGAACAAATGATTCAACTAATAGGGCACTTGGTTAAAGGGGGCCCTTCATATTTTGCCGGAATGAGTGAGCTGATGAGAGTAGAGAACCAGAAACGATTGGTTGGGTGATGACTAGAAATAAGTTCGAAATGCATTCCTCGTCTCCCACAGCAGATAATATTCCATATCGCAACTGACGGGATGATGAGCCCATGGCGCAATGGTGGAGAGTTGGACTACTTATCGCTCAGTTACCAAGTTGTCTGTATTCGAATTTCAGGTCATGTAAAACAGAGATTGGATATGTCCAGCCGATGACGACATACATGTTTACCTGAATATTCCTTTTCTTTCGCGGTAGTCTGTTCTGCAGCCGAGCTTGTTTTCATTGGTGGCGGTGATGCGGGAACTGTATAACGCAGTACCAAAGTAAACTTAAACGCCCTGCCTCTGCACTGCATTCAGTTGGATGCATAAAAGTTAATTTGGTTTTACCTTTAAATTTGCTTCTTTTTGTCTCTTTCATTTTTTCTGGTCAGTGGGAAAGAATTTATGTGTGTTAGCGAGCTTGATAAAAAGTGATTTGTTTTCAAGGAACAATATTCCTTCTTACGCTGTCCTTTTGAAGAATTCCGCCAATCGAAAGTCTCCCGGTACCTGTAATAGATACAATCACAAGACCCACGCTGCTCCGACACCCGACAAAAGCTAGATTATAGCTTTTTAAATTTTCTCGTTTTTTTATTCAATCACTAGTAGCTATGCTAGTGGTTAAAATATAGATTCTCAGTACAGAATTTGACGAGGTTGGAAACTAGCTTACGCAGTATTTCCTGCGTACTGGAAAGCTCCTGGCTGAATATTACCATGGGTGAGACTTGGAAGCAAAGAAAAGAACTTATAGCTTGCATTCGAACGCGCTCCCGAACATGTTTTCTGAACTACATTGTATAATAGTCACTAAGCGGAGAAGGCAGTGAGCTCTCAGAGAGCGGCCTGGCGGATTGAAAATTGCCCTGAATGCCTGAACGCACGAGAAGGCAATTCCACTCCGAGCCAAAATATAGCCGAGCCTTCCTTCATACCTCCACTTAGCCGCCTTCAGATCAACGTTTCTGCCCGGTAACCACATCGGCGACAAGGAAAAACTAAATTAGCGTGGGCAGTAGGTCTCTCAAACCCTAGGGAATTTGTGCGTGTGTGTATGAAGACTGTTCGAGTAATGAGAGAACCTACCACGCGTAAAAGATAGTTATATGCCGCCTGCAGTCACCTTTGAGCATACTGGGCGTGATATTGAAGAGGGAACTCCGTAAGGGAGAAGTCTTTCGTGGGCTAGTATCTGGTACTCGGAAAAAAAACGGTGACTAGTGTACCTGACCAGTAAACATTTCGTAGAAGTGCCCGCCAAACGTATATTTAATCGGATGCTGTCGTAGTGTAAAGTAATACGATTAGGAAATACCCAACAGACATTTTTTAGGGTAAGTGGGGATTTTTCAAAATCAGTGATAAGCAGAAAACTTATAAATAAGGGTAGCTTGCCTAATGTATAGTCACTGAGCATTCTTGTATAGAAGATGACCACTCACGGACTAGAATTAAATTATTCTCAAAAGTTGGAGTACACAGTCTAGGCAGCAAAAAATGTTTTTGACATCGGTAACTATAAACTAGTAAAATTGAGAAAAATAATCAAGTTAATTCAGACTTCATGTAAAAGTTTTGTTAGGGCACCTGATTTTGTCCATCTGTATCTAAACTCCCACGCAAACGGAAAAAATGACGGCTGCAAAAAAGCGTTAATAAAACGTTGACAAGCATATTCCGGTAAACGGAAACAGAAAACGGTTAGAGAATGCCGCATTGAGCCAGTTAATCACTCTAAGTAAGAGGCGCCTCGCCAGAAGGGTTTTGTCACCGTCCCCAAAAAGTACTCTACGTTCAGAAATGAGGAAGCATTTCAAAAAAGTACACTTTTAAAGGCTTTCGGAAGAGGAAGCAGTAAAGTGAGACGAAAATCCACCGTCTGCTTCATAGGAAGCCTCAACACATACAAAGGCATTGATAGGCCACCCTGTGGACCTTTTACGAAATGTTTTGCATCAATGGTGGCAAAGCTTTTGTTAACTTGAAATGCAAACTGCTTTCTCTTCAAAGGGGCATGTGTCTAGTCGGCGCCAGGAGCTTTATCTTCCCCTGCCGGTAGAGCCCTTTCCTCTTTTTCCTGTCTTTGAATGACCTTCTCGAAACAAAAGTTGTTTTCGTACTTCCCTTTAAAGTGGGACTGATTACCCAAGCACCAATCTCCGGAGTGCGACAAGGGTGTTTTTTGCACTTTGTGCAGAGTAACAGCTACGATTGCAAACGAAAATGAGGGCAAACAAAAATGCAAAAATGTAAGAGTTCGTTTCGGTGAAAAAATAATAAATTGGTAGATTGCGTTTAAATCACAGACAGTAAAAGCAGTTAAAATTATAGGTAGTGCTGTTGAACATAGGATTTAAACTGTCATGCAGGGGGCGTGGGGGGTAGTCATAAATGAAAAAAACCTAGACGTTTAGGATTTGGAGCGGGTAGGAGGCTTAAACTTGTCTTGACAACAACGTTACCGGGATAATAAGGCGAATATTTTTCCTGGGACATGTCTTGCTCTGTGCCAGGTACACTTGCGGAGGGCATCCGTGTAGGTCTTGCCAGAACATAACTGTCCAACTATGAGTGTTTTCTTTATGCACACCGGGAGGATGCCTTGGGCAAGCATCCTCTCATTTTCTATCTCAAAAGGGAAAATCGGTCTGCCTCAAGAACAAGATTTCTGGTACTGCAACAAGGTTGCATTAGACCTATCGTTATAAGGAAGATCTCTTAAGAAACGTAGTACTTCCTGAACATCTAAATCAACCATTAAACATGATGGTCTCCAGAGAGCCAACGTGATTCAATACCCGGATGTTTATCCTCTGCTTTAATCCACTTCAATTTGGGGTCCCAAACAGCACGCAAGACAGCCTGTTTCTGTAATACGGGACAGGTCGTAAAACGAGTGAGGCATATCAGGAGAATGAAAAAAAATGATTTAAACGGTATAGCGTATAAAAGTAGAAAATAATCGGCGTAAATTTTTTAAATAATTAAATAACCGAATAGTTGCGCGCGATTATTAAAATGGCCCAATAGTGTCCAATTGGACGTAACCGTTGACCCTACGTCAAATCTACATGTATCCCCTATAGCACCTCTATACAAGCTCCCTAGAGATTATATAGGAATGACAGAGAGTCGATGAATGTGTCCAATTGGGCCATTTTAATTATTGCGCGCAAAAATTCGGTTAGTTAAAAAAGCTGTCTGGAACATAAATTAAACTGTCACCGTTTATAGTAGACCTAACTTCAGTCCGCTGAGTAAGGAGGTACACCTGTTCTGTATTGCCGTTCGAAGTAGGTTTAAAGTGAACGACCAACGTTTTCGTCGACAGATCGATGCAACTGGGTTTGGAATTTTGCATCCTCATGCTACATCAACGGGGCCAGGCAGCGAGCGGGATTAGCTACAAGGCTCTTTGATATATCGAAAGCACACTATTAACTAGACCAGATCCGTGTGAAACAAAAACAGAAACTGATACAACTGCCGAGACATCGTTGTTGTTGTTGTTCAACGATCTAGACTGGCTCGGTTGCGTGATCTGCAATGGAAAGCCATGCGAGAGAGAGAGAGAGAGAGAGAGAGAGAGAGAGAGAAAAAGAGCGGGCACACAGTTGGCACCTTGACGACAAAGATGGCATAGCATGCAATGCCTCAGATGCTACGAAATGATACTCAACAGCATGCATGAATAACTCGTGGGGAGGCGGGGGGATGCATGCTACTGTCACCGCCGCCGCCACCATCAGGGTGATGAGCGGACGAGCCAAAGAGCGTTCGGTAGACTCACAGTCCGGTGGGACAGGATCCTCAAGTGAGGAGGTCGATGAAGGCGGAGAAGGCGAGGAAGCAGTGCTCGTTTGAGAGGGCAACTGAAGGCTCCGTCTGGCTGGTGGCACACGATAGGTCCCGTTGATGATGGCCAACTCCATCAACTGACGCTTTTTCAGGTCGTCTGTGCCCTCAGGCTGATGCAGCGAGTGGATGGAAACAGGCGGAGATAATGTAATTCTGTGGTGCAAGTTGACTGGTTAATCGAAAGATGGAATAGATTTGTCCAATGTACTTTTGAATGCAGCATTTAGTAACAACATAGTCCCCATCTAACAGGGTGGGATGCCTTATGAGTGTGTTTTGATGGACGCAGAAGGGGTCATTAGGGGAACTCATTAGAGACACCGACAGGGGCTTTGCAGTTCTACGTATTCAGTACAAACATTGAAGAACTTAACTTGCCGTCAAAATGCACTCTGCTTGGATTACGCAAATAGTTTAGAAGGTGGCGCCTTTCGTGTCCAAGTGGAATACATGGGCCATGCCGGCAGATGCGCTGGACCAACACAGGGGCCAGATCAGAGCACGACAGGCGTTACTAGGTGTATGCACTCCCAAAATAGGCTACATTCAGTGTGGGCGCAGGCTTACGCTGCGCCCATAACTTGCGCCCGATCCCACCTCCGACCTTCTTGACAACGTCTGCCGTGACACTGGGCAGAAGAGAGGGGAGAGAGAGAGTGCGGTAGATGAACCGCAAGTCTACCATTACTATAAACTAATCCATGTGAACTTCACCGTTCTTGAGACCACCCTGCTATGGAACACACAGTGGAAAGGACAATCGAATAGTTGAGACTACATGGAGCACTAAAGTTACATATTTTCGGATGGATTGCAGTTAATTCCCAAAATCACCACAGGAGGTGTAAAATAAAGATGCAGATGTCGATGGCAGCTCTGCCGGCTCATATTTTCTCCGGCAAATCTGTTGGCCTTCTCCTAGTCAGTAGCGTTTGCCATCCACCCTGCATGACGACCGGCAAAATGGTTTGGTTTGCAATGTACAAATAGTCAGGCAAAAAATTGACTGAAACGAGAAGTGTGTGGCATGGAGTACGTACCCTAGCCTCATATATAGCAACACGTCAAAAAGAACTGAGGTTACTATTACGTGCAATATGCCCAACGAAGGCCTTCTTCCCGATACATTTCCAACTAGTCAGTGTACCTAAGCTATATTTTATCCTTTTAACTGGACATTACTTGACACCGGCCATGGATATTATGAAGCAATTGTTTCTCATTTCAGCATTATAACCGATTAGCACTTTCGGGAGATTGGTATGCCAGTCTACCTCATGACCAGGCATGCTGGTTGTTGACTACGCCCTTTTCGTCTGATCTAAAATTAAACTGCACCTTTCACTTTAATTGCAAAACGGCTTACCACAGGTTTGATGCGGTCAACGGAGGCGGACTCCTTCAAAATGCAGGCAAATAAATAATCTGGGCTCCTGAAATACCAAGGTTCCTCTCTTTACATTCTGCCCTCAAGAGTTAAATATTTAATTTAGTTTCTCCGTCTATCATTCGACTATTCCTGCTGAACGGGCAGAAGGCTATGCAAGGTGGTAGAAGTTAAGTTGCACCGTTAGGAACGTTAGTCTTAGTACACAATCAACTGCACTTTTCTCGTGCAATCCATCTGATCCGGTCTGCCAAACCACCGAGTA